TTACATCAAGTTCAGCATCTTTAAATTTTCACTTTGTCTCACATCTCCTTTCCCCAAAAAGGACTGGAAATACTTTGGGGAAAAAAAAAACACTACATGAAATATAACATTAAAAAGAAACTTTCTTAATCTTTTTAAATTTAGCTAAACTCATTGTGTGGTCTATCTTTAGTTAATCTTTAACTATGAAAACTACTGCTTTTCAATACAAAACAAATTGGTACAGTAAGACTTCCAGCAAACCAGTTTTAAACATGAAAATGAGACCTCTACAGATGAAAAGATGCCGTCTTGACATCAATTCAGCCTCTCCTTCAGCAGAGAAGGATAACTATGTTAACTTAAAAACAAAGACAGCAATGCAACCAAAAAATAGTTGTTTAGGTATTAAGGGCACTGTTACCATAGACTGTGGACAATTTATGTATTCCTTCCAGGTTCAAAAAGATACAAAATATGTCCAAATTCCTTAAACCTAGTTTCAGATCAAAGTTGACTTTGTTTGAATTCTTTGAGGATATGGATATGTATGCAGTCTATAATGATATATTTCCATCAGTAGTTGGAAAGAATGCAAAAGAAATTACATCAGACTTTTATACCAGACAGCTTCTCAAATGCATTGGTTGCAACTTTAAATACAATCTGCTTTCAAAAGTGTAAAATAAAAGTGGCACTTTCATAGGGAAACAATTTTCTGTACTGTGACAAAATGACAAGACAATATGGAGAGGTGTAGCTTTTTAATAAAGCAAACAGACTCTTTTTTTTGTTTAAACAGACTAAACCTAATATTGAAGCAGAGTAGCAGTTACAAAAATACTTACATCAATGATAGCTGCTGCACTGCTGTCAAGGTGTTTGTATAAGTCATACAAAACCTCCCTCAGTTTCTTCATTGTTTTCTTATTAGGCTGAAGCAGCATTGCCTGGAAGTTAACTGGCAAACCATACCTGTGGAAATCAAGCAGAAAACTATGAAAATGCTGAAATAAGCCTTCTTTTGTCCTTCCAAAGCAGAATTTTATTTTATTTTATTTTGAGAAAGAATCCTATCACTGAAGAGGAAATTATGCTAATTTTCAATTTTGTAAGACCATTCTGTTTCTACAATTCATAAAGCATCAAAATAAACTAGAACTTCTTTCTTCAAGTTTAAAATAACAATACAGACATCTAAGTGTTTTTAAAGTAATTTTAAGTTCTGGAGTACTTAGCACAATTCTCAAAGTTACCTGAAATCTCAGACTTTTGAATATTCCAATTAGTTTACTTGCAAAACTTTGCTTATGCCACTAGGTGGAGAATCCAGTCTCAATCCTCCTTTCCAGATACGTGGAAACATTTGCCAATATTGAAATCAAGTTCAGCTTTCTTCCTTACTCAAGCTTGTCTTCAAACTAAGCCCGTAGCAGATATGCAATGGACTAGAATGCAAGCTCGTGTGATTTTATTTTCCCTTTTTCTCCTATGGTTTACACCTTTATGATAACTTATCAAAAAGGGTAAAAAAGCCTTTCCATTTTCTGACTGACAAAGGCAAAAGCCCTTTCAACTCTAAAAAAAAAAAAAATCCAGGTCCTTCCTTCTGCAGAACAACTACAGCTGTTCTTAGGCCAACTTCATACCTATCCAGAAGTACAGTTACTAGGAAAAAAAGAAAATTTATACTTAGAGTATTGAGCAGTGTGATACCGAAAAGTTTAGACTACAAAATCCTTAGAAAGGCATGTTTTAAAGAAAAAGCTTGCATTTCAAGATGTCAAGCGATATTACTCAAAGCTTGAATACTGTTGTTCCTGAACAGTTTATATTTCCCACTTAAACAGAAGATTTAAATGAAGTAATATCTTTTTACAAGCAGCTTGTAAAGCAAGCTAAGAATGAGCAGAACTTGCAGAGTACCTGTAGTTCCTAAAGCACTGGTGGAAATACAATCCAAGGGGCAAGATACACAATTATCTACCTCAAATATTCCACAACTGGCAGCAAGAGCTTTTGCCATCAGCTATTCTTACTACCTTCATTCTTGTTTCTTTCTTCCCGGAAGAGTGCATTTACACACCTCGGTTTGACAAATCCAAGATAGATATATATTCTAACAAAGCCTAGGAAGAAAAGCACTATTCAGGTCTGCCTCTTTACCTTAAAACAGATTCAACAAAAACTCGTAGTGCTTTCACATGAATCCATGCAATGAAAGCTTCACTGAAATTAACTTTCAGCCACCGAACCAGAGGCCCCTGTGAAATGGAAGACGACAAAAAAATCCCCCCATTATTCATACTTCAGAAGAAGATTCAGCCCCTCAAGCATATTTAAGCAGATACTCAATATCGGTACCATGATAATAAAGACAGCTTAAAGGCAGAGATCATTATGGACATAATGGTTCAAGGGTGTTTTGATACTAAGTAAAGAGAAATTTAATGAGACTTCTGTTGTCACCTCAGCTGCCATGGGCTAACCATACTAAGGACTGTTTTAGTGGTATCTGATTTTCATGCAAATACTTGTCTATTTTCAAACTCCATATATAGCCAGCTGCAATATCAGCACTTGGCTCAACACAGTGAGGAGCATTCATGCCACAGGAAACTCGATTATCCCTGAGCAGATTAGCTGGGTGGCAGGCTGACAGTGTCATGTCATCCTTGCAATGCTTTCTCAGAATCACAAGTTCATGAAATTGTTATATAGCAATAACAAGTCTTAAAAATCTTGTGTTTCTTACAATGACTAGTTTATACAAACTTACAAACTGTTTCTTCTTGTCAGTTGACAGTCTATTCATTTCTTCTTTATCTGCTTTCATCTCTTCTTCATTATACTGGAAGTCACGGACCATAAATCTGCATTTAGAAGTTAATAAAATCAATAGTGGCTAATTAGAGATCCTTCAAAGCACGAGAGGACAGAACACACAAAGAATAAGCCTTACTTATATTCTCTGGCTTTATGCTTGAAGTCATCCACTGCCTTCCTGAACAAGGTTACGTTACAAAGGTAACTATCTTGATCCTCAAAGAGTACACTACATAGGGAAAAAAAAGTGTCAGAATTAATAAGGTTCAAGTCACCACAGATCTGATATACAGTAGCTTAAGTTGTACTTAAATACAGATATTCACACAGAACTAAAATCCCCAAATTAGACACCTTACGAAGAAAGTAACTGAAACTTCAGCAACTGCTCTTAATTACTCCCTTCATAAAGGATGGCAGTTTCCACTTCACATTCAGAGACATCACAACTCAGAAATGCTTCATATATGTTTGGATATTTGTTCAAGTTGAAATTATTTTACAGAAAAAGGAACTAAAGCTGGTTGACTAATGAAAAGTTTAAACGATAGAATTCTTAGAAATGCGTGCTTTAAAGAAAAAGGAAGTGGATTTAAAATGGAAAAAGGACACAAGTTTAAAAAAGCAAAGATTGCTAAGAAAACGTGTTTCTTAGGCTGCAAAGACAAGCCCTAGATTTATTATACTATAGTTCAAGACAATATTGCTTATCTTGAGACTTCACCTTAGGAAAAAAGCTTGTGTAGATTTGGACTGTTCCTCAGTGTCAGACTGTCTTCAACACGAGCATTACCCAACAGTTTAACAAATCACCTCTTCTTAAGCTATCCTGAGGTCATGGTTTCCCAATAATTAAATAAGAATCATTAACAGAGCTCCCACTGGGCGTAAGCTGATCCAACTCAAATGTGAAGTTAGCCACAGCAAGTTCGGATTTTTTAACTGGCATAGGGCTGGTAATATTAGACCTGCCTAACCAAAACCTCACTCTGTCAGCTAAATTTAACATCACACCAATGTTTTGCGCTACATGTTGACTTTATTTTCTCTTTCGTTATGAGACTGCTGAAGTGGCTTAATAGTACTATCAAATTCTGGCCTCAGCCTTGCCCATCACCGACATCAAGCACCAGCCAGGTACCAAGGATCTTTGTTAGCCCATAGGGATAAGTTATTTCTCTTTGCACAGAAGAAAGCCATCTAACTTCCAGTCCTTCATTCTTTCAAGGGGTGTATGTAACTTGTTTCAGCTCCTACGAATACAGGTAGAAAGCTTGCAGGCTAGCAGACAGTATTCGTTGCTCAGCTTGAAGCTGAATGTGCCTGACCTGACCTGGATTAATTTTTCAATGCTTTTACTCTTCCCACATAAATTGATAACATGGTTAACCCTAGAGTTAGTGATCCTTTGAATTCTTCCTCAACTACAGCATGATCAGATAAAGCTATATAGCTAGACATTTTGACCAGTTTTACACTAATCTTTGAAACCTCAAAGTCACTACAGATAAAGCAAGCTTACAAAATATAGCACATGCAAATGTGTTAAATTTAACATTTAACAACTTACTTGCTGGAACGTGGTACAACCATCTCTGCTAGTGTTTCATATTGTTTAACCCAGTCATTATAATTTAACCTAGAGAATACAGAGGTTACAGTTAGACTTTTAGTACTGTAATAAGAAATCTTAGATTAACAGATCATGCTTTTCCAAAGAAATGTTAAAAACATTTAACCATCACATCTTCCAACCCAGGTGTAGGCTGTCAGATATACCCAAGACATTAGGGACTGTCATGCTGTTTTTAAGATTATTCCTAAATAAACTATAATTATAGAAAAAGTAACATTTTCTCTTCAGTCTTCATATAAATTTAAGTGTAAAATTTTTGAAATCAAAGAACCATGAAATTAAATTATTCATAATTAAGTACAGATCTCAGGGGACCAAATAAAACTGTCAAGGTTTATCAGAAATTCCTTATGCAATTGCACTCTTATGAGTTACTAATAGGAATACTTTTTCTAGAATTACAAATAGGTTCCCCAGAGTCCTGCAGTTGCCTGAAAGACCAGTGATAATTTTGGAAACTCTGCCTTTCTCTGTCTGGTGGTGAAGAGGTTCCACCCTCTCAACACCAAAAACAAGTCAAAGGTAAAAATAGAGTAAGTCAAGATATACAACCACCGGCTTTCTGCTAAAGCCACTGCAAAACCATTTTGCATTCAGAGTTTTACATGTACCTGAGACTACTGTTACATGTGACGATCACCCCACTGGCTACCTTTACAAGTTAGAAGCTATCTTTGTTTCCAGCTCCAGAAAGACACTCTAGTGCCATTTCCTCATCTTACAAGAGCCTTAAGGACACCTTTCGTTGGACAGGGGAAAAGGTGAGGGTTTTGTTTTTTAAACTTCGCAGAAAGGAACAATCTGTTCCCAGCAAACCTTTGTCAGGACATTAGCAGCGTTGCACTGGTATAGACATAGCCAAGTAAAAAAGCAGTGTTCTGGCAATCTGAAAGAGTGCAGAGCAAAGTAGTACAGAGTTCACTTTGCTCACAGCGTGGTGAAAGCCAGCTTAGTCCTAACCAGGCTAATTCAATCATTAAGCCTTCTAATGTAAAACAAATCATGTTCTTACTCAGTACTTATTATTTTCATAAGGATGTCTCCTGCAACATGACTAGCCATGGCTAATATTACATAAGAGATGTAAGTCTAATCTCCAGTTTCTTAAAGAAATAATGAGCACTCAGCATTCCTTATGACGAGTGCTCACGAACAATGGAATACAGGCACACAGGCTCATTTGTCTCTACTAAGCACCCAAAAGTTTTATTTCATCCAGGAGAACATCAGACAAATTCAGATGCCCTTCCTTCCAGTATTATAGGATTGTAGGATTATTATTCAAATTACATTTCTTATTTTATTCTGCTTTTGGGACAAACAATAAACTTACTTCGGTACAATCACTAATAACGTGACCAAATATTCTGAATCAAGTACAAAGTCCTCTTTCTTTACAATATCAGCAAGACTTCTGGTTAGCAAGCTTCCCCTGTAGAGAAACAAAGACAGCCATAGTAAATACATGTTTAAGAATTGAATTTGTCTGGACAACAGTTTCCAGTGCTTGACAGCATAACATTTACAAAAATATTTTACTTAAGCATTCACTGTTAGCAGAGCAAACAAAATGTCCCTGTACGCATGTTATATCTTACTGTCTAAAGTCACTGAAATATTTTATCAGTTCTGCTGCTGAGTGTCATTTCCATATTCCAAATAGCTCACTCACTCGAGAGGCCAAGTTCTTTTTTTTTTTTAAGTCATTTAAAAAACCAAGAACCATTAAAACCATTCATTGCTAAGTCTGGTATATGGAGCCTCAGAGTTACAATTAACCTTGTACCAAACTACATACAGAAACTTGGTAAATACTTAAAGCAGTGTATTGCCTCATATTCACAAAAGACTAAGAACACACACATTTAATAGGGCTTAGCTGACAAATTACCATGGCTTGAGACAGAATTTAAGGCTCACTCATAAAATGTCTCTCATCAGTATGACCCATGGTTCTGAATCAGCCAGCAGGCTTGTACCATTAGCTGTAATGGCAGGGTTGGGTCAAATTAATCAACCATATTTGCAGAGAAGAACTACTTCTCATACATACTACTCGGCTGTATTTCAGATAATCATCACACGTACATAAGAAGACAGAATATAATGCTTGTTCCATTTATTGTCTGCATGTACGCAACAGCTGTCTCTGCTGGTTAATTCTGAGGGAAGAAACAGAAATATTTATATGCTTAAAGCATAAATTGGAGCGAAGGGAAAGACTTCCTTGTTTAGACAGACACATAAGCAGCAGTGTTACTCATCACTTTACCAGCAAGCTTCTCTCAAAAGCTTCAGCAATTTATACTATTTGTACGTGCTTTTGCGCATTTCATAATTGCTCAGGTATCACAAGTGAGCTATTACCAGCAAGTCGGCTGGTAATAAATGTTCTTTTATGACAGCTGCTATACAAGATTGACAAACACCTCCAAAATAAATTAAGTTTAGAGCCTGTACCTCTTCATCCATTATTAAGTTTTCATGGTTATCTAACTTTCCTGTGCTATATTAGCAAAAAATAACATGACTTACGCATTCTTTCTTTCCAAATTCTGAAGGTTCCCTTTCAGATTATTGTATGCTGAGGCTCTTGCTTTCAGATCATTGTCAATCTGGTTCACTCCCTTAAAGACAAAAAGGAACAGTGTCTAAAGAACTAGAATAGTTTTTAAATAATTTAATTTCAAAGCTTAGATCTGCCAACAAAAACTTTAAGAAATACACAATTTAAAATGTCTATATTAGAGAACAATGCTTGACAAGCTTAATTCAAAACCCAGAAAACTCTTAAGTTAAAATTCCTTTAAAGAAAACTCAGCCAATGCATTGGGTTTTTCTGTGAGGGGGTTTTTGGTTGTGGCTTTGGTAACGGGGGAAGGGCTATGGAGATGGCCCTTTAAGAAGGTACCTGAAAAGCTCCCCCTCTTCCTTTGTCAGACCCACCTCTGATCAGGGCCAAGCCATCAGCGCCCCTGTGAATTCATGTATTTAAGGGGGGTGCAGGGCATGCCTCGCGCTCTCTCTGGCACTGGCTGTGACCAGCGCGGCCTCAGGTGCGGGTGGCATGGCCCTGGCCTTGCCCGGCTGGGCTTGGTCGGCCCCAGCCCCCGGGGGGGTCTTGTTGGGCCCCAGCCACAACTTAAGCTTAAGTCCCGCTGCAGCTCCATCCCGAAAAAAAGAGACAGCTGGGATCTCCATAACCATTGGAGGAGACCTGCAGCAGAGAAAGGAGTGGGGGCCAAGGAGAACAACTTTGAAAAACACCAAGGTCGATTTGAAGGAAAGAAAGGAGAGGGAGGAGGAGGAGGACACAGAACCCAGGTTTCCCCTTTGCAACCCATGATGAGAGCCGGGTCGACTGGTCTTGTGTGAGGGAACTGTGACCATAGGCAGACCCAGATTGGAGTTTTGTGGACTTGGGCTGAAGCAGTTTTGTGTGTGAGGGAAACTGCAGCTGTGGGCAGACCCATCCACGTGGGCAGAGAGAGAGACACTAGGCTGAGTTGTTTTCTTTTCCTTCTCCTGAGAAACACATGGTGGGAAGACCGACTGCAACCCCCCACTCCCATCCCCCTGTGCCTCAAGGCAAAGGGGGAGGGGGAAGGTGAAGGAACCAGGAACAAAAGCTGAGCCCGGGAAGAAGGGAGGGGTGGGGGAAAGGTGTTTTGATTTTAAGATCTGGTTGTATCTCCCATTGTTCTACTCTGATGTTGGTAACAAATTAAAATTGTTTTGTTTTGTTTTTATTCCTTATGATGAGTCTGTCTTTTGCCTGTGACCTGTTTACGTGGTGAGAAGCCCTCCCAGTCCTTATTTTGACTGGCCCTTTTTGGGGCATCGTGGTGCTCAGTTAGGCACTGGGCCTAAACCACGACAGCCAATAATAAGAGTTACACAACTTCTGGTATCAACTGGACATGCTACTGCGTCCAGCTGATCATTACCACATCACCTTGAGGCTACCACCCTCCATCGCAGCTAACAGGAGAGATCATCCAAAGTTTCCCTTCCTACTGTGATACACGTACACTTGTGAACACTGGGCATCATTTTCTCCAGCTTCTCATCATTTCCTCACTTCTCATTATGCTTTTCCCTCATTGGAGTTTCAGTAACAAGAACGATGGCATAATTTTAGAAGTAGCAAATCAAGAATTAAGTAACCCAAAGCATTATTGCTTTGCATCATCTACAGCTTAAGAGAAGACTCTATTGCACTGCATTTGCCTACTGCAGTTTGTGTCTTTCCTTGAGACGAACAGCCTTGGTCACTCAGAATATCAAATAAATGTATCATCTGCCAAACAGCTGGTACTATTTACTGTTCTAAATACTATCACAATTATTTTATCAGGGTTTTTTTTCCCCCAAAACCAAAGCTATATTTTCATTCTGTATGGGAAATACAATAAATTATATCACCATCTCCCTTCACAAAGTCACCTCTTATGCTGCTGTTTTACACTAGCAGTTGCTTACAACTATAAAGAAAAACCTGTTTTATAGAGACTTTCTTCACTTAATAAAAACTTATGTATTTTTGGAATGTCTTAAGTTGCACAGGGCCAGTCCCAGAGTAGACAGACAAACAGTATATTGGACTTGAATCCAGTTTATTTCAGACAATAAATGTATCTGTCAAATCAAGTAGAGGCAGCATTCTACAATTAATCTCACTGGCAGCCTTCAACAATCTTCCAAACTTTTATATAAAAGCTCCAACTGTTTTACTGTTTAGACTCAGACTCTGACATTTAGCTTGCCATTGCTGCTCAGATAAGCCATCCTTCTCAAATCCATCCCCCACGATTAATTAGAATGATTACCAAAACTTATTCATTCTCAGCTAAGTAATTTGGCAACAAGTGGAAGAACACAAATTAAGCAATTAGTAAGTCTTAAACATCTGATCATACTTCTATCAGCATGTTCCCTAACAAGGAAGTATTTTAAAATCAATATACTTAGTAACAATTGGATAACTGAAAGAACATGGTACAGTATTGGTTTGGCATCGTAATGCTGCCTGCTCCCTCACTATGGTATGTAGGTACAAGCATGTAAAAATGCCCAGGGACACGTATCTGAACACACCCAAGTACCCTCTCTTTATTTGAACTGACACTGTGGACAAAACATTTTGTTTCCATATAACACCTGAGCTTGGGCATGCAGATATGATTCTATTTTCACAAAATAAATCTCTCTTAAAAATGATGTCACTTAGTTATATAGTGACTTTGTTTATGGTAACATTTAAGTTGACTTGTCTGTAGCAGGAAGAAGTCAATAAAAGCCTGAAGGACCCAGCATTTTTGTTTGGCAACATGTTAACAGCTTGCACCTTTGCAGATACAGCAATGCTTTAGACAAAATAGTCTGAAAATAAGACAGTCTACTTATTGAACAGATGAGTATTTAAGGTTATTTAAATTCTTTGACTGATGAAACCTTTAGCAAAGCATGTGGAACATTTCAGCAGGCATCATACATTTTCATGAAAACCTTTTATACTACAAGAAATGGCACTGATTTTATTTTTTTTTCAGCTAGAAGACAGCATTAGTGGAAGAAAATTCATCAGAAGCTATTAAGCAAGTACTTTTGTGCATTTGGACTTTTTCCCAGACCAACAACCTTACCCTCCACCTTTTCCAAGAATCAAAACTTTCAATTCAACAGCAGTCTAACTACACATTGTGTAATGACAAAAAGCAAAAACAACTGATACCAAACACTACCTTCAAGAACCAGCACCACTCATCATTTCCTAATTGTCAATACTCTAATTGCTCTCATTTGTAAAGTTAGTAGCCTTTTAAAAGATGACTGCTTAGACCAAAGCCTCTTACTGCTACACTTGCTGGAGTTTACTGTAAAGAAGAATCAGCTTTGCTTCCTGCTAAAACATTAGAGAATGCAGAACCGCAAGCCTCAACGTCACAGCAGAACTCCTGAAAATATATTTGTGTAACACTGCCAAACAAAGCAACAATACAAATTTCCTTCTGGTAGTAGGATTGGTCAATAACTCAAAAGTCATTGCAAAATGAAGCCTACTCATTATATTGTTAAAGAAAGTATCAATCTATTGGGGGCCTATTTCTACACATAGCAAAACCCAGATATTTAAACCATTTACATAGTTACGGGCAATATGCGAGTGTCTTCTTGTAACTACACAACTGAGCTGTTGTACTTCAGTAGATACTTGGGTTGCTGGAAACACTGGACTAGGGCACTAAGGCTACAAGGTTGTCTCCTTGCATAACAGTCCTGTGACTGTAATTTCAAATACAAAGAATGACCAGATTAAGTGACAGCTCTCACATAGCACAGATACCATCTTCAGTCTTCAGCACTGACAGTGGGGTTCACAATACTTCTGAAAGTTAAAAGATGAAAAAAACTGATGGATAGTTTCAGTAGATTTCCTTTTATTTTAAGTGTTTCCAACACTGCTATAATTTTTCCTCAACTGACAAACTCCCCACTGCAGTTGCCATTACTCTCATTTTGGCAGATACCAGAATCTGCTGCCATAATGAGTGAGGAGGATATAAAACCATATGGGAGAAGTAGTATCTCATGATTTGACAAGCTTTTCAAGTTATTTTAACATAAACATGCCAAGAGGCTTCACAGATTTTAATTGACGTAGCTCTATCAACTAATTATTAACTAATGTAGCTCTATATCTTCATATTAATCACATACCAAAGTGAATATTTTAACTATATTAAGGACAAAACTGCTTCAAATCCTGTGACACTATCTCCTACGTGTCACTTCTACAAGAACGTAAGACAATTTCAGTCATCTTCCTTCTCCACTTTATGGACACACATCTGTAGCTTAAAATTGAAAATACATTTAAACTAGTTTTGAAACTATTCGAAATTAGATTTAATACCTAGGTGTCCCTGAAGCTCTCCTCATGGAAGATATATACAGCTAAACATGAAGAGAAATGGGATCCCTCAACAGGATGATTCAGGCTGAACTCCAGCAGACCTGTTTCTCTTCACTTAGTATCCAGTCTAATAACTCAATGATGTCCCTAAATTAGATGGAGAAGAATGTAAGCCAATTATTTAATTTAAAGTTGGGATTCTGGAGTACAACTTTGCTGCAAGCAGATGATTTATCTAGCAAACTCCACGACACAAGATAGCATAGTCTGACACTTTGGTAATATTTCAGTAAAGGCCATATCCACTCATGTTCTTTGTTGCTTTTTCCAACAAACTTAACTGCTACAAAACCAAGTTCTATACTACGGCAACAGGTAAGTTCCAAAAGTGAGACAAACACAGTTGAAGACTTTTCCCCCCTTTTTTTAATTTAGTAACTTTCACTCATATTCTAAAGCCAAACCAAAGGAAAGGAACTTTTTCAAGAACCACTTCCTTAATTAAGACTTGTAGAAACCCCTTCATCCTGTCCTGCTCTCTCTGTCCCTCTTTCCCCAGCTTAAACTTCATGCCTATATCTGCTGTAAACAGATGAACGCTTCCTTTTCATACCTTCTTCTGAAGAAGCAAAAACTTCTTAAAAGCAAAAGTACTTAAGGTGTGACAGTTATTAAGATTATTATTTTATATCTGTGGTGTATTTTTATTGTGCAACTCTTAAGAGTCATAAGTCAGTCAGTCTTCCTCCAACAAAACTCCACACTGCAGATGTTTTCCAGGAATAGTTAGAGCGTAATTTGCAAGGTAATTTCGAGATGCAGTGATAGCCCCAAAGAAAGTGTCAAAATGAAAGTGTTAGTTACATTCTTAGTCAACTTTGTAAAACTTTTAAACTAAGTTTCAAGAAAGAAACCAACATCTAGAGAATCTGCAGTTATCACAAAGCCTGAGGCTGTCAGCACTAACCCCCATCCCCACACCAATCATAGTTTCCATGCATGCATCACCAAAGACTATCTCTATAGGTACCTAGAGAGCAGCTGCTTCTTTTTTCCAGGTTATGTATTTTAGTGACACAGGTAATTCTAAGAGTCAGTTTGCAGATTATAGAACACAGAAAATAAATAAAAAAAATGAAAAAGCTGGGAAGACATTAAAGCAAGGGTAGCTTACAGATAACTCTTTCACTGTTTGAATACAGTAAGTCACTGCTGAGGACCCTATCTGTGCTCACAGCAAGGACAAACCAAGTAAAATCCCCAAAGTACGAAAAACTTCACCAAGGTAAAGATGGAGAAAAACTCACGACAACACTCAAATTAGTTTTCTTTACTTCTAACACTGAAGGCTTATTAATATCAGTGAAGACAGTGTGATGGCCTTCAGGGAGCACTCCAAATCCTATTTCCATCCTGATACAGTTTGGTTATTAAAAGACAGACACTGCTACCAGGTTCATTACTGTTGTTATCAAAGTTACATAAATATTAAGTGAATACCAAGTTTTGTGCATAAATATCTCAAGTTCAAGTAGGAAAGTTTTAAAAAACAAGTTACCTTACCTTTGCAATAATTTCTGAAATATTTTTCAAGGATTGCTTGATTGGGTATTTGGCCATATCCCACTGGAATCTTGTTATATAGGTGACCAAGTCAACTAGAATTTTAAAGAACAACTTTGTTAAGGTAGACAATAAAAATGCCGATGTATTATACCCATGCACGATTGCTGAAACAGAAGAGAACTGTAACAGACTGTCTGTGGACCTCCACATGTGTGGACCCTCTTGCTTAAGAAATAAAACAATTGAGTTGTAAGTTAACAGTCACCTCTGCCTTCAGGTATTGGTTTCTCCACCTCTATAGACCCTAAATGATATTTAACACTAGGTCAATGATGGCTGGAGCAGTACAGACAAGACCAACTATTTTTTGCTTTGTGTGAAAAATGGGTAGAAGAAGGGAGGATTACAATGGAAAAAAAGATGGTGTGGCTCACCTGAAGCAACAGTTTTGTAAAGTCATCTATGAGAGATACTACACTAAGCCCCTTTCTAAGAATGACTCTGTTAATTAGGCTGCTGCACTTGTCTTTGTGTTAATCTACTTATATTAGCCTCTATTGCAACACAAGCTGTGTTAAATTTTATTAAATGACTACTAAAAACAAAATATTGATTTAGAGACTAATGCAACTCTTTACTATGATAAAATGGACAAATACTTCCATGAGACAAGAAGTTTTAAAGACACAATTTAGGAACAACTGAGTATTACAGAACAGCTTACAGAAATTCATACCTATTCAGATGACAGGCTAATACAAAAAAATGTTTACAGTGATCAGTAACAGTAATTTTTATGTTCTACCAGTGATGACAAAATACAGCCCTAAAGGATCAAAAGGCTTCTCCAAGCGAGTACTTACCATGCAGATCTGATTTCTTGCTATTCTGGATCCTATAATTTGTTTCAAGGCAAATGACTCATGGAAAAAAGTACTTCCATGTCCAAACTAGGCTTTCAGAATGTCATACAGAGAAGCAGCATTCAGTACCTTTCAGGATCATTGCATTCCCACTTATCACTTTTAGGATGCACATATTATGATTGACACTTTACCTCCATTAGCCAGAAGATTCTCCTGAACTTTATCTTTACTGTCTTCTAGAACATCAGCCATATACTGGGCCACTTTCTTTACAACTCTGGAAAATGAAAGACAAAGATAAGAAAAAAAGAATTAAAATCACTGCCATTTTGAGAAATACCATTTATTAAACCAATCTGAAATTGCCTGGGAAAAGAATTAAGAGATTAGATCAAAAAGGAAGAGTTGATTGCTTTACATAAAAGCTTTCCAAGAGCACAAACTGGGCTCAGTAACTGAAGGAGACCAACTTCTCAAATACATGCCAGAACTCTATTTAAATCCTTCTCTAGTGTTGCTACTCAGCAGTTTGTAACAAGTAGAGCTACTTCCCTTGCCTCCAGGTAGTAAGGGTTGACTTCAGGTCACCGAAGTCAATCTCACTATACTCCAATCTTTTTTTGAAGTCTGTGGTATTTTCAAAATTCTAAACCTTTCTAAAAATAGATAGCGAGGTAGAAATCATCAATAATCCAAATTAAACACAAGGCAGCCGTGACAATGAAACACCAAAGACAACTGAAGAGCTGTGGAGAAACCCCAGCCCTAAGCCTTCATGAGACCTGACATACAACACCTGACTTCCTCACTAGAAAAGCTATGTTTAATATTACTCACATGTGCCATGCCAAAATCGTTTCCTTTTCTATTTAAAGACAACTACTTACCACTTCTCTCCTTGAAACAGAAGATGGCTCTACAAGTTCTGGTTATGTGAAGTTTTGTTACATTTGTTCAAAATCCCTTTCAAAAGATCATTAGTTTCTTCAAAATGAACAGCTTTTGCATTTTAATATTAATACTATTTAATCTTCTCTGTGGATTACCAAACAACATGGTTACCTTCTCAAAGTCTGTAAATAGCACTCTAACTTGCTAAAAGAACAGTTTTCCCTCCATTTCATCATCGCTTCCTGCAGCCAACAGGCTCAGCTCTTAACAGTTCTCCAGGACTCGGCAGCACACAGCACTACTACATGGAGAACTGTCCTTCATCAACACATAATGTCCTGCTATTCCACAGAAAGTTCAGAAAAATAATCCATGTATTGTAAGGACTCTGCAAATCATCACATCATTACACTAGTATTTTGCATGCTAATAAAAATAAACTGTTACCCCTCCACAAACGCATCCAGTTTAGCCAGCTCATCTGACAGACCAACCAAAACATCCAGTGTGCCAACCTAGAAGGAAAGATCAAAATGCATTAGCAATTGTACATAAACATAGAAAGATAAAACCAAATTACAACAAAAGCTGTATCACCTGAACAGGTTGCTTCTCAGAACTCCATAGCATACTCTACCCAAAGATTTCACATTTGTTGCTTTAACAAAATCACACCGTGCTTCATCTGCTCAAGATGACCCTAAACCTGATCTAGTAACATTGTCCCTGCTTACTGCAGGGGGTTGGACCAGATGATCTTTAAAGGTCCCTTCCAACCCAAACAATTCTATGATTCTATGATAAAGCACTACTGTAACACATGTAATTCGCAGTTTCAGTCCTGCATTCCAGCCATCCAAAACATGTTAAAACAACTGTTACATATGAATTGGCTGCAATTCCCATAAGTCGCTTGCTTCAGCATTTGATTTACTACTTCAGATCAAATCTGAAATTTCTTTCTCTCTGGTATCTCAGTGCTGGAAGCAACCAGAACATTGGAAACTCTGAAGATACAAGAGTACTGCAGCAGTCAGACTGAGTCCAGACTTTTTGCATCTGGAGTAACAGAATACCTCACTTGTTGACAAGCTTTCACTCCTCCTTCCCCTCTCCTCTAGAAAACACTTTCTTCCTTAATTTCCTGTAACAATCTCGAGCAATACATATACCTTTGTGGGGCCAGGCCTTACTATTACTATGACACTTACTATTTTAGTCTCTGTATAATTCAAACATGAAAATTATAGCACAGTAAAATACTCTGCTTAGACAAAGAAGACATCCAAATGGGTAAACACAGTATAGCTATGCTCAAGCTAAACAGCCAAAGGGTGATTATTTTTAAACAGATCATACAATATCAGTGGTTTTTTTTGTTGTCTCTTCAAGTACTTACACATTTGTTTATTTTGTTCAATGAAAGTAGGAGATACCTCCATAAAGACAATTTTTATCTCTAAAATTTTAGCTACTAGTTTATATTTCTTCCTGAAATATTATTGTGCATAAGTCCATCTCCTGTCTAGTCATGATGCTGTAACAGTATTTTTAAGTCTAGCATCTTTATTCTATACATCTGACCACCCAATTTTGCATGACTCATGTTCTCTTTAGCCTTGAAGCAGAAAGGAGCACAATTGCTTAAGTAACATCACAATTAAATCACTTTCTGTGCCCCATCTTCTGAGCTACAGGCAGAATAAGGAAGCTAATGTTTTGACTAGCCACGTACAAGGCACAGGACAAAAGTCTTAAAGCAATAAGGCTGCTATTCAATGGAGACTAAATCACTACTTCAGTGAGTTTTAACTAAAGGATCTCACTACTAAAACAGTTTTACTGGGTTCACAGAAACCAGATTATTTTGCATTGTATATGAATTTGAAGTATAGTCAGCTTCTGCCCCTTCTAGGAATGGTTTTTGCTCACAGGAAATAAAAAGCAGAAACAAAAATGATCACTTATAACCCTAATGGGGCACTTGAGTTTTCAGTGATAACTTTTCTAAATACTACAGGTATCCTACAGTTTGAAAGCCACCCTGACTCCTGTCCAAGAACCTGCTGGTCTCTTGAAATAACTTCAGTCTAAAGGTGAATTTAAGATATGGCAGTTGGAATATCCTCTTAAAAGACACACTGAAGCACTGTGTGCTCTGGGACCACTTCTTAGAAGAAACAGGTGTAAGGCATCACGTGGCCAAGGAGGCCAACAGCATCCTGGGGTGCACTAAGAGTGTGGCCAGTACATCGAGAGAGGTTCTCCTCCCACACTGCTCTGCCCTAGTGAGGCCATATCTGGAATATTGTATCCAATGTTGGGCTCCCCAGTTTAAGAAGGACAAGGAGCTATTGGAGAGAGTCCAGCATAGAGCCACTACGATGATGAGGGGTCTGGAACATCTCCCCTGTGAGGAAAGGCTGAGAGAGCTGGATTTGTTTAGCCTGGAGGAGACTGAGGGGGATCTCATTAATGTTTATAAATATCTAAAGGGTGAGTGTCAGGAGGATGGGACCAGACTCTTCTCAGTTGTGCCGAGCAAGAGGACAACGGGCAGTAGTCACAAACTGGAAACATGGGAAGTTCAACCTAAACATAAGGAGAAACTTCTTTACTGTGAGAGTGACAGAGCACTGGCACAGGCTGCCCAGAGAGGTTGTGGAGTCTCCTTCTCTGGAGACACTCAAACCCCACCTGCTCTGTGATCCTGCTCTGGCAGGGGGGTTGAACTGGATGATCTTCAGAGGTCCCTTTCAACCCCTACCATTCTGTGATTCTGTGATCACACCACCTGAACTTGATCCATTCTGCAGACAGAGATAGCATTGTTTCCTCTTCATTTTGATAAGCTTTCACTTCTAAAAAGTTAAACTGAGCTCACCATTCTTCTTGTTCAAGAAGCATTCTGGTGTCAGTATAGATCTTTCTTATGAATACACCGGCTCCTAACTTTTCATACCCAAATAATTGTATTTAACCAAGGGAAACTGCTTTCAGATTCTGTTTCTCTTGCCTTATCACAGTAATAGTTCCGCTTTCTCCTAATTTCCTATAACATGGAATGCTCAGCCGGAGAAAACTGCTACTCTAACAGAAGAATGTTACTTCTGGACAGAGAACAGGGAGAAGCTGTTTGATCAACCCCTGTGTTTTAAATCGAGCCATTTCACTGCATCTCAACCAGAAAAGGAACAGTAGACAATTCAGAAGTAAAAATCAAAGAAAGCTGGATCATGTCAATACTGAGATCACAAGTCTCCATGTCTCTTCTCATTTTATTCTCCAGCTAACTGTCAGCAGTACGAGGTCAAGACTGCTATCCTTGGAAAAACTGCTAATACGAGCCGAAAGAATGCAGTTTGCTGAACCTTTAAAACATAGATTGAAGAATTTTTAACTTGGAATTTAAGAAAAAAAGATAATTTATCATTGTCTAAGTGAGCTGTTTTCTCTAAAAAGTCTGCAAGCATTCATCATCTGCCCTTTTAGTCTAAAGAATCAAACATGATGCAAAACACACACACTTCAGACATGACATGGGGCTTACATACCTTCAAGTCCGGAATATTGAACTTCGAATTAGTGGAAAGATTGTTATTTTTTGTAGTTGCTGCATGTAGTTTCTCCCATGTCTGTTGACAGGTTTTTTCCCCAGGAGCAGAAATCAGCCAGAACTCAGTCATTTTGTGTCTTTATCTTGATGCTTTCTGCTTCAGAAGCTAGAGGCAAGATGCTAGAAGAAGGGAAATGGAGGGAAGAAATAATATCTGCTATTTGGTCAGGATTCAAAGCTTTGCCTGAAGAAAAACATCTCATCCCATGTCACTAAAGTGCAGTTCCAGACACTGTAAGAGATTTTACCAAGAGTATCACGTGGTTCCATATTCATTTTTTCCTGTCTTCCAAATCACATTTGCACAGTTGGAAAGTCTTTTTAAACTGCCTATACTGCAAGTTAAAGTGGGCTGAGTTTGCAACATTAGCATCTTTCAACTGCATTTCCACAAAAGATTATAAGCAAACGATCTAACTGAAAATAAATCCAATAAAACAGGACCCAAATAATATTTTCACAGCTGTATGTAGTTTCCAGCATCTCTACAACAGACAACTTCTTCTGAACACATAAGAGAAAATAAAACAAATTTCAACTCTGATGTTACAGCTTTTCCAATCACTTTTCAGATTAGGACAATATTAAGGACAGATTTAGGACAGTAAAGTAAGTAGATGCCTAAAAAATATTTCAACGTTATGAACTTTAGTTTATTCTTTCAACCAAAGGAAGTTCTTCTGGTGACTAAAAATTTCAACAAAAAGGAGGACACTTTCTAGTGTTGGTATCTGTTGTCATTGCAGACCCTCAATAACATTACGCATACTGGCACTAGCCAAGAGACTATCAGTACTAAATAAAAGTTATGCTGAGCTACTTTGGAAATGAGCTCAAGAAGTTAAGAGTATATACATTCTTCTGTCTCTAAGAAACAGAACAAGCTGGTTGAGTTGCTGGATGTTTTTAATAAAGGAGTGAAGAACAAAATCAAAGCATACCTTGTCAGAATCTAAATGTCAAAATTTGATACTTCCAATGTCTTCTGTAGCAGCTTTGAAACAGTAGAGACTAACCTACATTTCGTAATAAGCACAGACTACATCACTTTTTTTGAGAGAGAGAATCAAATATTGTATTTTTAAGAATTAAGACACAGTAGCAAACTTTGCCCAAGACAACACACAGAGGTCCTTCATCTGTGTAATCATTCTAGAGTAAACAAGTTACCAAGGGTGCTGAAGTCAGAGATGAGCTAAAGAAAGGCCTGTTAGCTTATCCTTTTGTTCAGCTACTCAGAAAGCCTAACGCTGAAGAAAGTTTACTAACCATTAAAATATGAAGCACATCTTGTCACTGGCATAACAACCATCTTTCTTCAATTAAAGGGCCTTGTTTATAACAAGAGATGATGACATCCAGTTATCAAGGCTCTTGATACCAAACACCCCATGGTGTCCAACACTCCATTACCAGGCAGTAGCACAGCAGTGCTATCATCCTAAATGCAATGCTGATGTGGGTACAGATTTGAAAAATCAGTGTATTTACAAGACTAGACACACGTCCTTCTTCACACAAGCTTGTCAGCCTGACCCAGCCCAATTCTGGGTACTCTTCGGAGCTGAGGCCACACAACTGCATGGCTGTTAACCAGCAGAAAGTCAAGGACCTGGAAGTTATCTGTGCTCTCCTCACTGGCACTACTTTTGACAACAACTTGCCAAAGCAGGTTGGAAAAAGGGATAAGAAGTTCTTTGCTCCAGGAAATAGTATGGGTGAGAAAAGGGGTCCTACCTCTGAGGAGGAAGGGTGACAAGACTGAGCCTACTTCTCCCCCTCATGCTGTGGCTTTGGCTGTTGCGGGAAAGTCCACAGGAGCAGAATTGGAGAGGTATGAAACCCATGCCAAGGGCCCTCAGGCACCACTGGCTCTTCATGTTCAAAAGCACATATTGTAACAATTCTTAGTCATATCATACTGATGATTTTGTTATCAGGAAGTATTGAAAAATTAAAGCAACATCAGTCACCACCAATATAACACAGTATGTTACAGGGCTGCTTTAGGTGCTGTTTAGGGAAACACTAACTGGATTATCTCACATAACAGGCCTCAATGGGAGGTCTACTAATTATCAACTATTTGGAACAAGACAAAATTTCCTCTTATCTCAGACTACTTTGATGTGTTATCTTCCTTACTGTACACCAAACTCAGTGAATTCATTGCACATGATGTTTTCCTACACTTCACTGAACCCTGGCCCTATAAAAGACACAGGCAAGTTTACAATAAACTTCATCCACACAGGGAAATACTACTACAGCTTACACCCATACTCAGTGTTTAAGCTTTAAGTTGTTTTTTGCTTATATTTTGCTACACTGGGACTAGAAGAGGATTTGGAATGAACACTGGATAAATAAGAGAAACTGCTTAAGGAAGCAACAGAGTGCAAATATCAAAGTAAAAGACAGAAGAGCCATAGCATAGAAATCCAGGCTCCTATTCAGTAATATGGATAGAATATTGCATTTTCGTGTTTTCCACTAAAACATAAATAGCCCTTAAAGAATACATATAAAGTTTCCAGAAATTGTATCATCGAAGGAAACGGCTACATGTTTGATACATTCTCTGCATTAGAGATTGGGAAAATCAGCTCACCATTAAGAAACTAAACATCTTTTTCCAGGGAAAAAAAACACAAAAATCTTTAATAGACACATTGCAAAGCATAACTGTTTTCAATAAGTAAAGTTTTCCAATCTTTTAAAGTTAGTTTTCAAAGACCAACTATTCGGATTTCATGTTATGACTAAAAGCCTAAAATAAACAAGCCTGAAGTTTCAAACACCTGACAGACTTGTAGGAAATACTTTTTTCATGCTTAAAAACCAATGAACTAGAGCACTTCATGATTCCTTAATATCACAGGCAAAAATTGATTGATAACTGAATAACCAAGGTCTTTTTCTACTGCTCAAAGTGAAGAGGCACAGGTGGAACAGTCATAGCTCCCAGCAAACATTAAGCTACTGGACTTCCCTCCCTCACCATTTCTGTCTGTGTGGGTGGTTCTCCTGAAGCTCTATTCCATTTCCAATAGCCATGGGAAACAAGACAATTCCCTGTTTCAGCTACCTACTCAATGGATCTATTTTCAAATACATACAAGGGAAAAAAAGCCCAGCAGAAGAAATTTAAATGTTTGTTTATATGTTTGTTTCATGTGAGGGAGGGTGGAGTTTTAAATCAGAACTACAGGGAATAAGGAACAAGTGAAGAAAGGAGAAGTGCTACAGAATGGTAGGAAAAACAGAAACAAATGCTAGTCAGTCAAATACTGAGTCACTGTAAAAAAAGAGCCATGAAATCTAAAGAGAAGGACCACAGAATAAAGCAGGAAATACGACATGTTCAAGTCTTACAAGTATATATTGAGCACTGCATCCAATTTTGGTCCTCGCTATACAAAAAAGATGCAGACAGCTTGGAAAGGGTCCTGAGAAGGGTGATGAGGATGATCAGAGGACTGGAAGGGCTGCTGTATGAAGAAAGGCTGAGAAAGCTGGGCCTGTTCAGCCTTGGGAAGAGAAGGCTTAGGGGAACCTTATCATGTACCAGCACATGAAGGGTGGCTACCAAGAAGATGGAGACTCTCTTTTCACAAGGAGTCACATGGAAAAGACGAGGGGTAATGGACACAAGTTGCTTCTGGAGAGATTCCGATTGAACCCCAGAAGAATTTTTTTTACCATGAGATCAATCAGACATTGGAATAATATCCCAGGGAAAGTGGTAAATTCCCCTACACTGCTCAGCTTTAGAGTCAGCTTGACAGGGTGCTGACTCATCTCATTTAAACTATACTTTTACGTTGAGAGGTTGGACTAGCTGATCCTTGTGGTCCCTCCCAACCTGGTATTCTATGATTCTATATTGGCAGGTTATTTTTTAGTAAAATACTATTTTATTCCTTTAATCTGCAACTAAGTGTATATAGTCTGCCATAAGACTCACCACTATGGTGAATTTATTCTTTCTTTAGATTGACAGGTAGATTTTTTTAGATTGTGAATTGGGAAGCCTTGACATCTCAGCAGTCTGCAAAACATACCACTAGTCTCTTTCTACATGAATATTATAGTTTATTAGCCGCACCTTGCTCTGAAAAGACTTAACTATATTTTTGACAGTATTTTAAAACTACACTATTGCAAGTATGTAATCACCCAAAAATTGTAGCCCAGCACAGACCTAGATCTCATTGTACTAAGCATTTTCTGTGTAAAGGTACAGCCCTAACTTAAACATCTACAGTCTGAACCACTGTATGTTGGAAATTAGGTTACAAGCGAAAAAAACAACACAACAAAACTAAAGAAGTTACAACAAGCATGCTGGCAGAAGCAAGTCTTGCTTAGCTTTTAGTCATCTCATATCCCAAGAAAACTCCACAGTTTAAATTTTTAAGTACTTGGCTAACAACCTGATGATGACTGCAACTGAAAGCATTAATTAAATCTGAAGCAGGGAGGATAACACTAACAAAAAGCTGCCTATCAGCTATCATCATACCTTCCTCACTCCCAAAAAGCATAGCTGCATCGTTCTGGTCAAATTTTCTCTGACTTCCCCGCTTTTACATTTTTGGACAACAAACCAAGGGAATAACAAAAAAAAAAAGGCAGGAAATAGAAAACCTAGAACAAGCAATAAGAATGGACAAGTGAACTGTTGTTTACACTGGGTACCTCTATGATCAGCACATTTTTTGTAATGTGCTATTGAGTAGAATTTGTCATAGCATCGTTTTGCCTAATTGCTGTTAGCTATTTTTGCTATTTCAGTTGTTTCTGATGTACACTCATAAGAGAGGAAATATTCATAAATGGGTATCTGCATATATAAATGGAATCATCTACAACACAAATCTACCAGTTTAAAATCATTCAAAATTATAGCACAAGCACAGTCAGTCAAGCTAATGCTTTCAATGTGGTGGTTTTTTCCTACACATTGTCCATGCTATGATATTGAATAGAAATTACAGTCCAAGTTCTGCTGAATATAGGTAAAGAAAACCGTTAAAGAGTGAAGAAACTGCTCCTGAGAAGCCATTTAAAGTATTTTCTAGTCAACTTCAGCAAAAAGTGTTTGCTATACAACTCAAAAAAACCCCAAATC